CGTTTTTGCAACTTGGTTTTATTTTCAAAAAGACCTAGGTAAACGAACCTTGTCGGAGTCCTATACCAAACTAACCATCATAATTTTTAGTTCCAGACTGTATATTTGGTATCACAGTCTGATGCCAGAAATTATGATCACTACTTTGACGAGGGACTCCGAACAATGTGCGTTCACCTGGGTCTCTTTGAAAATAAGACCAAGTCTCAAAAACGAGTTCAAAACACTTAAATATAACGTATGAACGCGAATAAATAGAAGCCACATTATCTTCGTCCTCATACCTTCGATTGGATAAAGTTATTTTTTCTCTGGACTAATTTTCTTTTAGAATAAATAGAATGCATGGGAATAAGTTATTAGTTTTTTTGAATTTGTGTTTTCTTGACGCTTTTATTATATTAAAGTCCTGCCTTACGTTTTACGGACGAAAACCTAGCACTTTTATGCTGGAATACAAGATAAGTGTGCGAAAAACTGTCAAACTGAACTTCCCACTAAGGCCACAATAAATCGATATCAAGGAAAATCTGCCCATTTTTTCCGGTGAAATTGATCTTTTAATCATTTCGCAACTTAATGAGTTGGCTCAAGAAGGAGATATTAGGAGATTCATCGAAAAATAGTCAGCCTTAGTATAAAATTAGGTTAAACAAACTGAATCGCTTTCTTGTGCTAGTGTTTCAGACCATCTAACATCAGTTTGTTTATTGGTGACTGGTTTATGGCGTTTTATATGATTTCTTTTTTTCATGCCTTAGAAATTTGAGGCTAGTACCATATTCGCATACAACAGCACTATTTGATCTTATGAGAATGAAGATGGAGATGGACCATACCAAAGTATCATAAACACTACATTCCCATACAACATTTCGCCTCTATCCATATCTCTCATTTTGGCACCGATATATTTCTTTACTGCATGCTTGCTGTACTGTAGTGTTATTTTTTATCATCGGTCTTTTCTCTATATTTCGTACGATTTCTTCAGCTGTGACAATCAATCTTCCGCATCTACGGCTAATCAACCCTCTCCTCTGCTAACTGCTGGCGATCGACCGGCCCGGCCGGGTGACCGACTGGGTGCCGTCGATGTGCTCTCTATTCGCAAGGTAATGGAGTACGTCTACCAGCGACATGTCGAAATGGCAGCTACTGTAGACGCAGCAGTGGAACAGACAGCTGGAACTGCGAGTGGCTCAAGTGAATCTTATAATTTGGAATGCTTAATTTTATTTACGATTGTTCGACCTTGTTTTCGCAACTTGGTCATATTGGTAGGAAGACTTAGAGGAACGCACCTAGTACGGAGTCGATTGTATGCATCATTATTTCCAGAGTAGGACTGTGGACGTGGTACATTCACAGACGTTTCACCGGTATCGTCAGTGAGTCTCGCAATTCTTAGCACCACACAACGACTCGTCAAAGAGACAAGTGAAGCCGATCCTTTGACCAAACGTGTGTTAAACAGTTGTGGTATCTCCCCTTCTGTCCTGGGCTATTCGCATTTCCTATATCCTTCTATCACGCCTTCACTGTTCCAATTTTTTTAACTGTGCTTATTTCAATGTAGTGTGGTGTGCTCCTTTGAGCGGCATTCATGAAAACACCTTACACCCCACTCTGGCGTTCTCACCCCCTTCATCCTTGTGCTGGGAATGTTGATCAGTCTGCCATATTGTTACGCACTCCTTCTTCCTTAGGTCTTACCACAGTCTCTCTCTTTCCCCGTAAGCTTCGTCTGCCCTCTCCCTGGGTCACATATTTCACTCTACCCCTGCCACTCCATCTGTACAACTCGAGGCATTATTCGCCCTCCCCTGCGTTTGGGTGACTAATTCGGAGCTAAAGCCTCTGAGTAGATCTCATGGTCACGCCTTTGCTACCTTGACCACATCTATGGTAAAAAGCAGACCCACTGTCAGCCAACTAGCTCCAGTCTCCGCTGCATCTATCCTGTTTCTATCCCTAATACCAAGTCTATGACTTCCCATGCCCTAGTCTCTTTTTTCCAACCCACAAATGTTATGGTACTGCTTGCCTTGATTAGGTTCAATGTTGAACCACAGCGTTTATAGGTTGGCACACAAGACACTAGGACGTACACCTGTCTACTTAGCTGGCTAGTTAGAAAGAATTTTATTGAGCTAATGGCTGTTCTAATTCCACTTTCTCATCCTCTCGACCTCTCTCTCCTAATACACTTAGTGGTTTGCACAAGCCCCAGCACCTGCCACTATAACTTCTGTGGCTTACTCACTCAGTGTTCTTCAAACGGCAAAAGCTCCGGACCCTTGTATTTGTGAGGTTCTTTTTGTTTTTATCTTATCTTTTCAACGAGATTTCTTGAGTTCTTTACGTTGTTGCTTAGGGAGATGAATTACTTAATTTCTATTAATCTGGATTATATTTCGAATTAAGTATCACGGCCTCATATTTACGATTTGGAACAATATAGAATATTCGTTATAAAGCCTGTTCACGAGAAAACTGCCACGAATTATCGCTAGGTTGCCTGTAACCCCATAAGTTCAAGTCACCTTTGTTTGTATTTTGATCATCGGGTCATCGCTGAATGGTCTTATGATGCCTTATCATGCTCGATTCGATGAAAACATGCTTTATTCTGAAAAGAAATCATATCCAACGCCAATATTCATAGCTAACGAGCTTACATTTAATATTCGTTTTATTCATTCTGATTATTTTACTTCAGCTGGAGTATCCTCGCTTCCTTCTGGCTATCTCTCCATGGGCTCCCTAGAAAGCAATCGTGTCACCACTCCTTCTGGCTCTGCATCTCATATTCCCAATAGCCCTGGGAATAGATCACCCGGAACCGCCAAAACCAACCAGTCTCAACCAGCATCTCAAACGGCCTCACCCATTCTTATTTCTGCTCTGGCCAGCATTGGAATGTCGGTTAACCAATTCTGGACCATCAAACAGGCTGAGATTAAAGCATCGACTAATGCGGACTCAGCACCCGAGGACATAATTGAGATTTGGTGTGGTGAGCAGGTAAATATTTCAAAATGTGTTGTTTCCTAACTAAACAATCAGCATAGCGAACATTTAAACAGCCCCTAATTCGAAGGATTATTCTAAAGACATTTTGTGTACTATCGTTGGTAAACAGATTTGTAAGCTCAGATTAAACCAAATTGATTTCATATTATGACGGGAAGCTGGATTTTGAAGAATCCCTTGGTAGATTGATGTTGGTATATCTTTCGTTTCGCTTAAAAGGATGGGTGAAAGGGATTTGTAGATAGGCCTAACCGGATACTGAAGGAGTGCTGCCTTGGACTTGTGACTGTTGGATTGCGCGAAGTAGACCTCGGCTCACTGTCCTACGACTCTGACCAATCCGTACTGAGCTCTCATTCGTGATGTGATGGACATCGTCAGAAAATAAAACCATTATTTATGAATAATCACTAGAAGCACTAAGTTAAGAAAGATGGCTAGCTGAAGTTCTACTTCTTATACCTCACTTTGCGATCTCAATGAGCCATACCTTAATTTGGTTGGCTGCTTTATACTTGTCCTACATGCATGTATACGAGTGAGGTTGATGCAGGAAGGGGAACGACCACCTTTCTTGGTATGGTGTTTTTTAGTGATTGTCGCTAAATAATGGCTTCTGGATCTAATAATGCCCATCACTAGACTGACGAAAGTTCAGCACAGATTCATCTGGGCCACATGACGGTGAGCCGAGGTCTTTTCCGCATTATCCAACAGTTATAAATCCAAGTTAATCCTCCTTCCGTATCCGGCAAAGACACTGCGAATCTATTCCACCCGCTTTTTCTAACGAAGTGAAATTTATACCAGCATTGCTTTCATTTTGTTTGTTGAGACTGAATATAGATAAATAAATAAACATAAGTGAATGGGCCATATGAAATGGGGTTGAGAGAAAGAGATTCGGTACTAGAAGGTAGAACAAAAAATAGGGGCAATGAGTGATGCCACAACGGTTGAACAAAAAATTGGTCAAGGGGATTGCATTTACTTGCCACTTGATAAGTTGTATCTCTGTGTTTACAATCTCGCCTTTCACTGACGTTGCTGGCGAAACGTTTAGGAATGTACCAAGTCAATGGTCCAATACTGGAAATCACGAATACTATGGCAGATGACACGAGACTAGGTACGTTCTGCAAGATCTCCCTGATGCACCGATCATGTTGCCAAAACAAGGTTGAACCGATACTATCTTTGCCATGTCGCCAAACATCAAAATGATCGTCCATATAACGGACACAACTTGGGAACTAAGAGTGCCTCTTGAAAAACATCAACTTCTATTTGGGCCGCGTAATTATTAGCTAAAATAGGGGCTAAACAAGATCCCAGAGTCGAGGACTTCTTTGTTCAATCCAACAGTCTTCCCCTACGTAGCAATCCTCCGTTCGTTTTCGGTAAGACCACATCGTGCTTTTCTTCCAACCAACTTTTCCTTAGAAATGCAAAGTATTGTCATAATTAGTCACTTTAGTTCGCTTAAGGTGATCTAAGAATTGATATTTGAGTTTTTCCTACGAGACGAATAAGCTCCATTGTCATTGAATTTCATTTCGACTTTTCTGCCAAAATCTTATATTTCCTATGCTTGGATTCAATGGAATTATAAATGTCGCTATTATGCTGGTGATTCTATATCGAATTTCGCTGAGGCTGTTCATGATAAGGCGAGACGAGGTCGAGTCTGCAGTATATCCTAGATGAGTTGAGCCTTTGGGAAGCAATAGTAAGCCAAATTCAATGATATAGTTAAGCTGTCTCATTAC